AGACAGCGCCCAGTGGTGCATGCCTCCACCCCACAATGGGATCTGCCATTGGTGCTCAAGGCTCTGGTCACAGAACCATTTCAGCCTCTGGAGCTCTCCTCCCTGAAGGCGCTATCATTGAAAACAGCTTTGGGTCAGTAGGTATCTGACCCCCCCCTGGACATAATGCACTTATGTATTCCCNGGGGGGCTGTGGGTCAGTAGGTATCTGACCCCCCCCGGACATAATGCACTTATGTTTTCCCATGCTCCTTAGGGACCCGGGAAACATGGTGCGCAGTAAGCCCCATATAAGGCTGGAGGACTCTCGGGCTGTGGGCGGGCGGGGAGAGCCTTCCTCACTATTTTCCATGCACACTCTTCATGAGGTAAGCGTGTCTGAGTGTCCTCTACCAGCCAAGTAAGCTGCGGCCCCGACTTCTCCACGGTCACAGCTGGAGGAGAAGAAGTTGCGGTGCAGTGGTTGTTAACCAAAAGCCGGTCAGGGGCAGTGTGATGGGTCGATGTTGTTGGACGACAGGGCATTTATCCATCAGGGCTCCACCCACTGTACCCATAGAGTCTAGTAGAGGGCGGAGTCTGTGTAAGATATAACGGGGGATTACGTATTGTAACCCTAGTTATATAAGCACAGACGGAGCCCTGTCTTTCCTATGTCGCTCGCTGAAGAGGTTGTAGGATGACAGTCAGGAGGCGTGGCCGCCTTATATACGGTGGGCTTGCGCGCTCATTCAGGTAGGCCCGCCCCGAGGGGCCGGCTACGTTTATAGATATCTCAGTTGATGAATGCTTGCATAGTATGATTGAGAGGTAGTACCCATAGATTCCAGTAGAGGGCTCCGCCTGTGCTTATATAACTAGGGTTACAATACGTAACCCCCCGTTTCATCCCACAGGCAATAAGACTGTTAAACACCTGAACAGTTGAAACAACATCCTTAATATTCATCTGGCTGCTACTTAAAAAATATTTTAAAATTATTTATCTATTTACCTATATATCATATTTCAATAACTTGCATATAGACTCTTATTGCACTATTTTTTATTTTTGTATTACTATTTACTTGCAGTATATTTTTCTGTTGACCTGTGTTTTGTGTTGCACTGTTGGAGAAGCCTGTGACACAAGATTTTCATCTACATAACTACACGGTAGCTATGTACGTATGACTAAATAAAGAACCTAGAACCTTGTTTATCAAAGTTCTTTCTTCATATATCTTTACAGGCTGACCTTACAATACAGGGTTTAGACAGAGCCAGGATTTTAGGAGTACTAACATCATCCCTAGTCTATTCCCACAGTGCAACATGTGTACAACAAGCTAATGAGAAATGTCTCAAGCCACAGAAAGGTCTGTGTGTTAATCACAACTAAGTTATTCAGAAATCCCTTGGCTACTGGCCTGGTTCTGACTTATCTGGTGATCCTACTCACATTTTGGCCTCACTTATCTTATTTAGCTATAACTTAACCAAACGTTAAGAGAGGGGGCTGGCAGAATAACTCATTGAGTTTCTTACTTCTGTATTTCCATAAACTGAATTCTACTAACAGTGACAGAAACGATTAGAGTAAAAAAAGCCTTTAATATTATAGCACAATACCAAAACAAACAAAAAAACAATCAATTACTTTTGAAAAACGTTGAAGCTGCACTTTAATAGAGGCATACAACTCCTCATTCGCATAGCATTTCATAACCTGATGTTTGAAGTGCTCGGCTCAGCATCATTAGATGAGTGTGGATGGACTGAGAGCATGATGCACTCTGGGAGATCAGTCACTGTTCTGTGTTGTCTTTATCTGGTAGAGGATCATGTGGCAATGAGGAGAAGGCACAGTATTTCTGGAACACAAGTTCAAACCCAAAGCAATAATAAGGTGACACTCTCAGTCTGAGCCTCAGTGAGCCCCCTCCTCTCTGTGAAGGCTGCTGCTCTGAGCCCCCTCCTGGGAATACTCCTCCAGGAACCGCAGGTGGAACTCCTTCAGCTTCCCGAGGAGGACCGTGAGCTTCTCTGGGCTCGGCAGGATGGTCATTCTAATGAACAAAGACACACAAACACATATTTTACACACTCAATCTTTCTCAATCCAACCAGCAATTATGACAATGAAATACAATAATCATTATATTGCAGAGCATAAAGTAGGAGACATTTGGTGTGGTTTGCAGGGGTCCACAGGTATGGAATGAGAATAACAACACAATAAAATGTTTTTTATCTGTGTCTTTCTTCAAAAAGAGAGTAAGGGAGCAGTTATTAAAATATGTCAAAGCTTCACATATCCGAGGACTACACTCTTTGAAGTGTTTTTCATTTGTACATTTTTAGTGTTAGCTGTTTTTTAGATTCAATGTTTTCACATGCTCTCTCTTTCATTTATTAATGTTAATGAAATATATTTTAAATATTTTCTATTTAGTGTCTGGGCCCCTATTCTAAAGCTTGGATAGTTCATCGGTGTATCTCATCTCACCATGCTGTTTTATTATTGGACCCTAAGCAGTTCGTTATCAACTATAACAGCTCCACCCCAGAAGGCAGTCTGCTCTGCAGTCACTTTCAGGGGAGCGGGAAGGGGGGTGCTGAGGGCGCTGCAGCACCCCCTAGCGGCAGGCAGGCGGAGCTCCTCCTCCTTATTTCATTTAATTGTGCCTGAGATATATTTTATATTATATATTATTATTAAAATGATAATTTAAAACTATATAATAAAAGATTTTGCTTCAGGAAAGAAAAAGAAAAAAGATGTGGAAAAAAAGTTTTTAGTCGGCTACTTTTAACGTGACGCACAAAACAAGTGACAAGTAACTGACATGGCGCAAAAACGTATCTCGGAATTCTTTCTCACTAAAAACGCTAAATCTGCTAAAAAGATTGAATTAGAAGATGCAAGGGCAGGACATTCGTCTACCAACACCACCACCACCAACGAGCACTAGCCTCCTAGCAGGAGGAAACTGGAGCTAGCAGTTCAGCTGTGGCTAACGCTAGCCATGGCCACACATCACACCAGGTGCAGTTGACAAGCTAGACCCGACACCGTGCGTTCCTAACGTTTTGGGGTTTTATGAGCCGTGTCGACCAGACATACGTTTTCCTGGGAGGAATATTGGGACAGAGACCTTCGAGCGGTCATTTCAGAAAAGCTGGTTTACCCGGTGGAAATGGGTGCATTATGTCACGGAGAAAGACACCGTTCTTTGCTTCACCTGCTGCAAAGCCATAGAGAAGGGCTTAAGACATAATGACAGAAAGACAAGTTCATTTACAGTAGGAGGCTTTTGTAACTGGCGTAAAGCAACCACAAAGTTTAGCCAGCACGAGTTGTCTGACATTCACTCAGAATCGGAGAGAATGCTTGCTTGCTCAACAACACTCCCATTAATGCTCTACTGTCGGAGATTGTTGAGAAAGAGCAAAGAACGGCCAGAACAGTCCTAGAGCTAATATTCAGATCAGTAAGATTAATCGGCAGTTTAGGACTATCATTAAGAGGCCATAACAATCGAGATGGGGTGCTATGGAAACTGATGATGGAGCGGACATTTACATTGCCAAAATGCCAGGAGTGGCTGCAGCGAAGAGACAACTGGATGTCCGACACGGTACAAAATGAAATACTGGAGATATTCGCCCATGCTGTTCAAAGAGAAATTGTGTCCGAAGCGAGAGAGCATTCTTTCTATGGTCTTACTGCAGATGCGACCACTGATATAAGTACATCAGAGCAATTTTCCATTACTTTGCAATACGTGGATTCAAAACTTGAGGCAGTGAATGCTTTCCTTGGATTTTACAGTGCACCTGATTCAACTGGAGAAACACTTTTTTCTTGCATAAAGGATGTTTTTCTGCGCTTGAATTTCCCACTGGATCGTCTCAGGGGATTTTTCTTCGATGGTGCTGCGAATATGTCGGGCCGCATCTCGGGTGTGCAAGCCAAACTGAAAGAGCAGTGTCCATCTGCACTATACGTGCACTGTAGTAACCATGCACTTGATCATGTATTACAAGGAGTGGCGAGGGAAGTTTGTGTCTTTGCAGACACATTCAACTTTGTACGGAGTGTCTCAGTTGTGATCGGGGAGTCATCAAAGCGCAAGACGCTGTTCCAGCCCATGTTTGGTGATGATGAGGCGGTTTGCAACTTGCTGTCATTATGCCCGACTCGGTGGGCCGAACGCACAAGGGTGATTTCACATTTACATTGTGACTGATGTAGGAGAGCAGCAGTGGCGGCGTGAGTTCTATAAGGCCTTGGATCTTGTGACAACCGTGCTGGATCGCCGATTCGACCAAGAATGCCTACAAGTCGCTGCCCTGAGAGAGCAAACTGTCATCAATGCCGCAAACGGAGAATACTCAGGCATGAGAGAGATCACTGCTGCACAGGTCCCCGATCAGTTCGATAAATCTCGTCTACATATGCAGCTCACATTGCTGGGTAACCTCTCCAAGACAAAAGGACTCAAGACAGCTCAAGACGTTGCAGGATTCATCGGAGCACTGCATCCTCAAACCAGGGAACTCCTGACAGAAGTGGAAAAGTTGATCGAACTTTGTCTATGACTCTGCTGCTTCCTCTGAGCGTTCCTTCTCCACCCTTTGCCGCCTCAATACCTGGCTTCGGAGCAACATGACACATGACTGACACACCTGGCCGTAATGCACGAACAAAGTGACATTCTTGATCGGAGGGACATCCAGCCGCTGATGAAAAGATTCATCGACAACACCCCTGAACGGAAGTCCACATTTGGGGTCTTCAAATAGGTAAGACATGCATTATTAATCATTTTTGGTTATTTGCTGCCGCCGTGCAGAATCTGTATACTGGTCAATATCATGTTTGTGGTATTTTAATTATTATTTTATGGTTATTGCTGCTTCCGCCGTGCAGAATCTGTGTAATATGTAGACAGGAATTAGCAATGCCTTGATAGCCTACTTCAATGACTGTAAATTCCACATTGTTGGTAAAATAATATTTTACATCTTTTTAGTGTGTGTGTGTGTGTGTGTGTGTGCTCGCGCTTTTGTGTGTGCTCTATAGTGCCCGTAATAGCGTGCACCGGAGTCCATTGTTATGCCGCTGTGTGTGTGTGGTTTTGCTCGGTGTACGTCAACGTCAAACCCCCCCCTCCCCGTGCGTAATAATTAGCACATTGGACAGCACCCCCACTCAAAATACCTTCCCGCGCCTCTGGTCAGTTTATTCAGACCTCAACACTGTGATCTGCATAGCCACTGAGCTATACTGACTGGTGGTTAGCAGGCTTTCAGCGCCACATCTTTTGAGAGGATACGGGATGCATTTGAATGTCCCTCTTCTTTAGGGCGGTGCAATAGTAAAACATAATGGGTTTATTTCTTATGCAGCCTCATTTTTTAAATCACAATCAAGTTTGGAAACCAAGACAGATTAGTTGCTTGACACTTTAAAAAAAATTCTTTATGTAATGATCCTATGGTCATGATGTCACATCTTGTTAACAGTATGAATAAAAGATTAAGGAAGGAACCTGAAGTGATACGTCCCCTCCCTCTGGCCGAAGCCACTTCCTGGAATCACGCAGATCCCTGTCTCCTCCAGCAGCTTCAGACAGTACAGCATGTCAGGAGCCATGGAGCGGGCCTACACACACACACACACACACACACACACACACACACACACACACACACACACACACACACACACACACACACACACACACACACACACACACACACACACTTCATCTGCTCAGCTTCAGGCATCAGACTGGAAACATGTTCAGGAACATCCACTTCCTGCTTCTCAATGCATGCTGGGATACACTCTCAAGATAATTTCATATTTATAGAGAAGTGTAGGACTGAATCATTAAATATGGAAATGAGTTAGAATTGTACAACAAACTGAAGAGATTTCACGTTTTTTCTACGACATAAAATATGTCAGTAAATACCCCACTGGTGGATCTAAACACGGCGTTTGCTAACTAAATCAGACGCCTAAACGCCCAACATTAGCTGCCTTTAGCTTAGCGCTGGAGTCATGTGACCGTGCTGTAGTTCCTTTATAGCCGAACTTTAGCTTTTTACTTCTGCCCATTGTATTTATGCTTCAAAAAACAATGATTTGTGGAGATTATCCTGCTGAACAAAACATTTAAGTATTATAAACATTTGTTTGCCTCAGATTATATTTTCTGCAATGTTCCAAACCCGATGGAAAACTCCCATTGCTTTTAGTTCAGGGAGTCTTTGTGAAGCTAACTTCCGGCTGGGCCTATAAAAATAATCTTTGCTGCACCCCTCTGTTCTTAAATATGAATAGCACATACCTGAATGAACAACTTCCTTGTTAGAACACAATATTGTTGTACACAAATATGATGACAAATTCTGCAGGTCTCCCTTGAAAAAGAGATCTATGATCTCAATGGGACCAATCTCGTTAAATAAAGGTTTGAAATGGAATGAAATGAAATGATTAATCAAATATGTTTGTGTCCCTGCATTGGGAAGGCAGTGTGTGGATAGTTTGTTTTGTTCTGGTGTATTTTTGCATACTAAAGTACATGCTGTTACTGACCTTGGCTTCCTGAATGGCCCGGGGGGGAATGAATATCCGAGGGAAGGCGTACATGGCTCCTTGGACCGGGTTGCATTTAATCCCAGGAACAGAGTTCAGGATCTGCTCCGTCAGCCGGGCCTTCTGAGCCAGGACGTCCAGGACCCAGCTCTTCTCCTGGAAAAAACAACCCATAATACAAAAGGCTGAGGCCAGAATACACTACTGTGTGTTGGTCAGGGACACACACCAGCTGAAAGTCATGGAAAGAAGAGGGCGCTGCCAGTGTCAGTACTTCAGTAGAACATCTTATCGTCTTTAAACGGTTTAATCAATGGTATTATCAATGTAAAACAGGGTTCATATGGCTGAGATCCCTGTACTAAGGGAACAACTTAAGGTCCTTACACACCGCGCCGATAGATGTCGATAGATGTCGGGCCTTCGATGAGCGTTCTGTCGCCCTACTCAGATTGGTGTGTACTGCACCAACGTGTCTTTACGGCCGTGCCGACACCTTCCGCCGCCTATTCGACATATTGAATCGGTCGGCTAAAGGCCGTCGGTCAAAGAAATCACTCTGATTGGTTGTTCAGCTTAGCGAATCAGTGATTGAGAAGCGAACGGAAGTGAGGGACCCAAACAAACTATTAAGAAGGCAAATCTGAGATTTCATTTAACTCCAGCTCTCGACACAGGTTCGGGAAAGCCCCATGAGCTTCTCGCTGCAGAGTGAAAATGGAACGCACACGCTATTTGTTGTTTGTTTGTATCACGCAGTCTGTTCTTCTTCTCTCGGTTATCACGCAGTCTGCCTTCCGGTTGTTGCCTCTTTTGAATGACGAATACACACTACCGCCCCCTGCTGGTAAGGAGAGTTATTGCCACTCACGCATGCGCAGTTCGTACGTGCAACTTGGCCGTCGGCTGAAGTCTTTGCGGTGTGTTCCAGTGCGACACATGGCCAAGATGCAGGAGACGTGAGGTGACGTTCCGTCGGGACGTGTTCTTTGGTGTCAGTTTGGTGTGTAAGAGGCTTTAAGCTCCTTTGAACTGAAACAGCTTGTGGGTTTCCTCAGTATGACTTCTTTAATTATTTATCATACAGCCCTGTATTGGAGAAGACTGCAGCATTGGCCTCTTGTTACATCAGGGTTCAACATAGTGTAGAAGCACTACTGACTGACCAATGGAAACTCTGTTAGATGGATCTCTGTCAGCTCATCGGCTTGGATTCCACTAGAAGCCTGTGCCATACCATATATGATATGCCATATCATTCCAATTAAGTTGAGACTTGTTGTTTAGCAGGCTGCTATCTAAAGTTACTGCTTTCTGCACACAATTGATGAGCTGTTTCTCTAGATGCTTCATCTCTAAACTGACTGCTCTGTGTTCCTCTCAGTGCTGCTGCCTGTCACTAACACAGATGTAATATTGTGAGCAGGTAACGACTCACCTTGATGAACTGAGCGTACGAGGGCTCGTGCTCTCTGGGGGGGTTTACGATGACGTCCATGGCTGCCTGTCCCGGGACGGGGGGGCAGAGGCGTACAGACAGCAGTTTGACCAGCTGCTCCTTCACCTGGGGGTCCATGTTCAGCACCTCCATGTAGCCTCCGCGGAAACCACACCTGGGGGGACAAACAAAGAGAAGCACATTTATAAGATGAGAGAAAAGTGATGGTGACGTCAGAGATAACATTTGAGAAAAAGCTTGTGTTTGGCCGCGTCTTTCAGACAGACATTATCATAAATAAGACTGAGAAGCCCGTTAGTTGTAGCAGATTGGCTGGTGGACTCTGAATGTTGATGCTGATGAGTGTTGTACTTGTGTCTCTGTGCTGGTTGCCCTCCTTGCTCTACAGCTGTCAGACTGAGCGATGATGGATCACTCATACAAAGCATGTGGTTACTTATGGTAATAAAGCAATGTAAATCAAATATAAAGAGGCCTAACAAGATAGATAAAAGGCGACAGGGCGAGGCTGGTGTGTGATACGGTGATGTGTTGTCAAGATAACCTTTGAAAACATTGAAAAACTGCCCTGCTGCCAAATAAAGAAATATAATTATACAAACAGACTATTCAGCCACAGTCAGTTTCTGCTGCTGTACCATTAGACTACAGAGCAGCTTCTCTCCTCTTCATCCTCCGCCATGACAAATATTAACTTTTCAGAGTGGACGTACAACCACCTGCTCCTTGTGTTCCCAGAGAGGGGCTCAGTGTCAGATACTCACTCTCCGGTGTAGCCCTTGGAGGTGGAGTGGAAGGACACCAGCTCCACGTTGTTGAAGTACTCAGGGCCCATCTCATACAGGACCTTCTTGAAGGAGTGGAAGTGACAGTCTGCTGAGTACACGTTGTCCTGGTACACCTGGAGGAAAGACGCAGGTTCAACTACAGAGCTCCACCTGCATCTCCCTTAGCTCCACCCTCAGCTCCACCATCAGCTCCCTCAGCCCCACCCTCAGCTCCACACACAGCCGCTGTCGGCTCCACCCTCAGCTCCACCCTCAGCTCCACCCTCAGCTCCACCATCAGCTCCCTCAGCTCCACCCTCAGCTCCACCCTCAGCTCCACCCTCAGCCCCACCATCAGCTCCACCCTCAGCCCCACCATCAGCTCCCTCAGATCCACCCTTAGCTCCACCCTCAGCCCCACCATCAGCTCCCTCAGATCCACCCTTAGCTCCACCCTCAACCCCACTATCAGCTCCCTCAGCCTGAGCCCCACCCTCAGCTGCACCCTCAGCTCCACCCTCAGCCTCACCATCAGCTCCCTCAGCTGCACCCTCAGCTCCACCCTCAGCTCCCTCAGCCCCATTCTCAGCTCCACCCTCAGCCGCTGTCAGCTCCCTCAGTTCCACCCTCAGCTGCACCCTCAGCTCTATCATCAGCTCCACCATCAGCTCCCTCAGCTCCACCCTCAGCCGCTGTCGGCTCCACCCTCAGCTCCACCCTCAGCTCCACCATCAGCTCCACCGTCAGCTCCACCATCAGCTCCACCATCAGCTCCCTCAGCCCCACCCTCAGCTCCACCCTCAGCCGCTGTCTGCCCCACCCTCAGCTCCACCCTCAGCTCCACCATCAGCTCCACCCTCAGCTCCACCCATCAGTTCCCTCAGCCCCACCCTCAGCCCCACCCTCAGCTCCACCATCAGCCTCACCATCAGCTCCACCCTCAGCTCCACCCTCAGCTCCACCCTCAGCTCCAAAAAAAAGTACTAAGTTATGATATAATAACAAAATAAATATAAAAAGTAAGTAAAAGAAAAATACTTTCCAAAGGACACAGTTACAGATTAAAGACGGATCAATCACTCTCGTAAGGACATTAGTTTTCATTTCCCAGAAGCCACTTAAAGCACAACATAATCATTTAATTTTTTGTTAATTAGTTGCAATAGCCTTTAAAATTGTTTTTATAAATTAACAATTTTTTGCTCCGTTCTTTAAAAAATGTAAAAAGGATTCTTCTTTCTGTGCCTTCGTATGCACCCTTTGCAGCACATTCCTAGTATATGTAATCAAAGAGATTCTAATTATGATAACCAAATACAACTTATTTTTATTAGGAACATATTGGTGTTTTTTCTGCGTGTTATCATTAAAAATAATTCTTGTGAATATGGTGAGAAAAGTGTTGTAAAGAATTAATTAGCCTGGCTCCTTTGGTGGATGTTATGTGAATTACAGGAAAGGGTCAGAAAGCTTGGTGACTTTGATTAAATGTGATTTTGATGTTACTCTGGTTGGTAGCTAAAGCCTGGTTGTTATTTTACACATAGACCGCACTCCAAGGACACAGTCACTGTAAACACCACTAACTCTGAGAGGGGGGGGGTCTTATTTCAGCAGACTGGCTGAAATAAAATATCTTGGATACTGCACACACAGATGCATTGCACATAAGCAACAACACAGGCTCTGAACACTTTGACATTTCTATGCTTAAAAGTGGATTTCTCATGAGCAGGTGTACTATGGACTCTGTTCAGCAGTTACCTCATCAGCCATGACGAACAGGTTCTCCTCATAGGCGAAGTGCAGCACCTCCTCGATACACTTTTTACTCTGCACCTGGCCTGAGAACAGAGGGAGACAAGCCGCTGTCAGAGCTGAAGCTACTCACAGTGGAAATGTTTGTCCCAATTACAAAAGAAAAAAGGTTACACAGATACATGTCAGCCCTCAACAGTCTAAACGTAAAGCAGACACTTTGATAATACTTCCATGTAAAAGGCTTGAAATATTCAGAGTCAGCTTTTAGGCTCTGAGACAGGATGGTCAGTCTTTAGCAGAAACTCAGCCTCTCCAAGCAAAGCCTATACTGTATGAGAGCACACTATAGTAAAACTATATGTAGCGTTGTATAAATGTGAAAAAAATTGAACATCTAACTTCCACGTGTCTTCAAATGTATGAAATGTAAAAATAATTACAGTCATGTTTGTTATAGCTGGGTTCAGGCAGAGAATCAAAGCTGGGCTATACTATTGTGGCGGTCAGAACACATCAACTAACTATCCATACTATATTCATACACTTTCATTGTGGTTGCTATCATTCAATCATATGATCAGAAATGGAATGTGACCGAGTACATGACATGTTTGGAATCCTTCTATCTCTTGATGACCCAGATGTCACGTGGCTCACACCTGAGATGAAGGTCTGCTCCATACATACAAACCTGACTATAGACCAACAATGCAGATGTGTGTTAACTTGTTATTGTTATGAGTGTGTGGCTGCTCTCTGATCAGATCTGTGCTGTGTTACCGGTGGGATTCCCGGGGTTGATGATGCAGAGTGCCCGGGGGGTACAGAGCTGCTTGGCGCTCAGATACGCTCTCTGCAGCTCCTCTATGTCCAGGGCCCAGCAGCTGTCCTCGTCCAGGTAGTAGTGGATGTGCACGGCGTCCAGCTCTGAGAGGGCAGCGGAGTACAGCGGGTACTGAGGAATGGGGATCAGCACCCCCGTCCTGCCACTGCCCTCCCCCGACACCAGCAGCTTCAGGATGCTCTGCAACAACACACACTCCTGATGTCACTGTCAGGCTCACACACTGCTGCTAACACAATCACATGCATGTTAAAGCCTCCAACACTCTGAGACTAAAGAGAACACACACACACACACACACACACACACACACACACACACACACACACACACACACACACACACACACGAAAGTGAAGGGGGTGTGTATCATAAGGGCAACTATGGCTCAGGGGTTACACAGGCATGTACCAATCACATGGTCAGGGGGTTGATCCCCAGCGTCTTCATTCAACATGTCGGAGTGTCGTTGGCCAAGATTCTTCCCCCCAAATGCTCTTGAGGCATGTGTACAGTAGTGACACAAAGGTAGCTTTTATACTGGCTTTAATGGCCTGATGGCATGTGATGTGATGCTGCTGCAGATCCCAGCTGTGCTCCTTCCTCTGAAGAACTCTGACATAGAGAAAAAGACGGACTTGGTGGTAGGGTTGCACAACTTAAAAACTTGATGATTGTGATCATTTTGACTGATAATGCTCTTAATCTGTAATGAATGTTATATATTTTAAGTGTTTTTTTACTCTGTTAAGTTTATTTGAGTTTCTTGAAAAGCGCTCTCTAAATAAAATATATTGTTATTACAATACAACATACTTTTTAACAAATATGGTGCTTCCTGCGATTGGAATATTGTAAAGAGACTATATTTCAATAACATTTGTATTAATTGTTGAGCTATACATGGCGAAACATAAAAGCAAAAAGGATTTGTGAAGCAGCTGGAACCCTGTCCATTCTCAGCTATGCACACCTTTCCAAAAGTTAGAAATGTACAACACAGCTGCTACTGTCTTAAAGGTGCAATCATTTCCTATGTGGCACAGAGCAGCGATCCTGAAGGTGCCATCACTATGACGACAACTGTCATTAACTCATGAAGCCCCACCCCCCCCCGAGTGCTGCTCATACCATGATGCCGTCACTGGCCCCTGTGGTGAGGTAGATGTTGTTCCAGTCTGAGGGGACGCCCTGGTCTCTCTCTGTGATGAACTCAGCTACATGCTGACGGATGCACTCCACACCCTGACTGGCACTGTACGAGCCTACACACACACACACACACACACACACACACACACACACACACACACACACACACACACACACACAC